ATGGTTCATATTCTTTGCATATCTTTAAATGTCGAGAATAGTACTTTGCACACAATGAGGCACACCTTTCATGTATATATATACAATTTCAAAACCAATTCATGTAAAATAACAATCAATACATCAATCAAGTTTTCGGTCTTACCACATTTGCACATACACATACCAACGGAGCTCAATTTCTAATAGGAGAGAGTTTTAGCCATACATACCTCAATAGAGTTTTCCTTAAATTCTTACAAAATTTCGGGACCCTTAGGAATTCCAATCTATTTTATGAAAATTGCAAATTGAACCAAGAATTAGAGGCATGATTAAGTTTATAGCTCATTCGAGCACATTATCAAGCATTAGGTGTGCATTGTGATTATAGGACCCCTTCTTGTGAGAGATTTCTATCATTTTACACCCCAATTGTTATCTGTTTAGTTCACAACCTCCCCATACCCTATTATCTTTTATGCATGCAAGAAATCCATTCCTATACCCATGAACCCCCAAGCTAATTACTCATTCTAGTGTGAATTTCGAAACTAAAGGTTAGGGCTCAAGTTCTTACCTCTTGGGGTGAAAGCCTAGCAAATTTACTTGATGATCTTCAAAGGTTTAGGCAAGGATTGAGTAGGGACTTGATAAGGATTACCCTCTCTCTCTAGAACTCCCTCTCTCACTCTATTTGCAGCAAAATAACATAAAGGGGGTCTAATGGGGTGTTTTTATGGGATGGGGCCGGGTTTTAAAAGTTAGAAAATAGGAGCCCCGACACAATCTGCGATCGCATAATGGACATGCGGCCCACAAAATGGACCGCAAAAATGGTCCCTAAAACCTAAACAAACTGTTTGGGTGTGCGACAGAAATGCGGTCCGCATACCTGTTCTGAGGTCGCATAATGTACCGCAAAACTACTTCTCACAACAATTCCAAGGGGATTATGCGATGACTATGCTGCCCGCATATCGATTATGCGATCGCATAATTGGCCGCATAGTTGACCTTAAATTTATCATCAAACTGTCTGACTTTGCGGCAATTATGCGGTCCGCATAGCTATTATGCGATCGCGTAATGGACCGCAGAAATGTACTTTTCCGAAAAAACATTATTCCTTAACTTTTTAATGCATAAATCGATCAAAAGGGTCCGAACCTAATTTGGTACTATGAGCTTTCGAGTTTTTGAGCAGAAATTTCACGGGGCCTTACAATTTGATCCCGACCTAGTTAGGTTAACAATGCATCGACCACCCTCGTTACTCAATAGTAGTGTAGGCTTGGACCCGATTAGTTAGTTCGAGATTTGAAAGGATTCGAGTTGAAATCGAAACACTTGGTTCCTTAGAGGCTAAGTTTGACTTTGGTCTACATTTTGAGTAAACGACCTCGGAATCAAGATTTGACGGTTCCAATAGGTTCGTATGATGATTTTGGACTTGGACATATACTTGGATCGAGTTTTGGTTGACCTTGGAGCGTATAATGCTTAGTATTGATACTTGGCACCTTGAAGGTTTTTAAGTTCTTTAAATTTAGTTTGGAGTAGGTTTTGGTGTTATCGAGGTCCGTTTGGGATTTCGAGCCTAGGAATAATTCCGTATGGTAATTTAAGACTTGCACACTTTGGTGTCATTCCGAGTAGTTTAAATACGAATCAACAGATTGGGAGTAAGTTGGAAGAATTTGAAGTTCATAAGTTGATTCTATTGGTTTTAGATTGCGATTCTTAGTTTTAATGTTGTTTTTTGCATTCCGAGGGTGCGAACGAGTCCGTTTTATAATTTCAAACTTATTGGTATGTTTGAACGAGGCATCGGGGGCCTCGAATATAATTCGGATGATGCACGAATTGAGTTAGGACTCAAAAGGGCTGCTGGTGCACCAGTCCTGGTGTGCCCGCACCTGCGAGCTTATGGCCGCAGGTGCGAGCCCGCAGACGCGTCATTTTGGCCGCAGAAGCGGCTTTGGAGCATTGGCTAGTGGTTCGCAGAAGCAAATGGGCGTGCACAGAAGCGACCTCACTTCTGCGATGAGGAGCCGCAAATGCGGGACCACAAAAGCAGGATCCCGTCTGCAGATGCGGGCAGCGTTGGGCCTGCGGAGTTCCGTGAAATGGGCCTAGGAGTCGCAGAAGCGGTACTGCAAATGCGGCCCAGTAACCGCAGATGTGAAAGTTCTGCTAGGCAGAACCATCTTTTAATTCGGGACTCAAACATTTTAGGTTTATTTATTGCATTCCTTGGACGACTTTTGGAGCTCTTAGAGAGGGGTTTTCACCTAGCACTTTGAGGTAAGTAATTTTTATACAATGTGAGTTAAATACATAGATTATGAGTATATTTAACATAAAAAATTTGTGAAATCATGGGTTTAGATGAAAAACATAAGTTTTGATAAAATGGGATTAAACCATGAAAATGGTTATGGAATTTAGTGAAAATTATATATTTATGTACACAGATAACATTGGAGAGTCCGATTTTATGACCATTATGGCATTTTACAGCCCGTCTTCAGAGGCCTCGAAGCACAACTCGAGGTTTGACATCGAGGGCTCCCAATGCTCGACCCCGGGGCAGTGCAAATCGGTGGCTATCTTAGACCAGCGGGAAATTCCCAAAAGACACGCGATTAAAGCTGACCAGGTCTACAAAAATAGTACAAGTCCGTATCGTGGCATTAAATAGCTGTACCAGCTGCATATCTTTGTAATAAATGCATATGTACTATGTTTGGATTCCCCCTCCTATATAAAGGGGACCCTTGTTATTTCTTATACACATGATATTCAATACAAGAACAAGAACATTCCCTGCTCTCTAACTAAAACATTCTCCATTGTCTTTCCTTTGAATTTATTGCTTACATTTATTGTGTGCCATTGATTGTTCTGCATTCGTTATTCATCATTGATCATAAAGAGCTATCATCAAGGCCCTTAGAACTATTAGTCCTTCATCGATCGTCCTCGATCAAGCCCGTCGAGCTCGACCTCGAGGCCTGCTTAGGCCAGTCCGAGACCCCGACTTGCAGCCATTCGATTTGAATAACCACACTGCCTCTTACTCTTACTTTGCTTTCTTAGATCATACTTAGCATCTATTGCAACATAGTTAAAACTCATCCCAAAAAAAAACTTAAAGGACATTTCAAGCTTATAAGACCTAACATCCTCGATGATGGAAGATCCAATTTTAAGTGTTCAAGGAGTACTTTGCGTGGTCTTCTGATCTATATTTTGAATTCATCTTGAGGTTAGGAAGATGAAAAGAATGACTACTGAGCTTATTAATATCAATAAATGAAATGATCATCTCTATTCCTATTCTTAATGAGTACAAACAGTTGATATTTGTTAGTGTTTATTAGAATGTAAGTTTACATTTTCGTACGAATTTTTTTACATGGGAGTAGTGTTTGATTGAAGGGCAAAATTGTCACTTAGCCTTTATTTATTCGGTCATGACTCCTTCTTTTTTTTGTTAATTTGTTATTATTTATTTCAGTCGGTATCCTACCATTCTTTTTGCCTAGTTCTTCTCAAATAGAAAACACAAATCCCTCCCCTTCCTCCTCATAACCTACCATAAAATCTCAAAATGTATGTTCTTTTCACTACCATTCAGTCGCATTTCTCCCTCCAATAAATTCAAAGAGCAAATTAAGAAAAACGAAAGATGTGACATATACTTACAAAGAGAATCATCATTTGCTTCCATTAAAAAAATCGTCTTAAGTGCTACATGTTCAAAACGAACAAAAAATCAGTACATTATGTTCTGATTAAGAAGTTGGTAAATGCAGTCTTCACCTTCAAAATGTCGCCATTGTCACCTTCTCCGTATTTTGTGTTGCTCTCATCTTCCATGAAACTTAACAAAGAAGAGATATATAATAGTAGAATTATTTTTTTATTTCACCTCTATTTCATATCATAGCTTCTTCTCTTCTTTAATGATGTAAAAATGTGATATTTGACCCTTGAATTTGCTTTCGATAAGTTTTGTTGCCAACTCATTCGTTCACATGTCACAATCTAAGTATGTTTAGCCTTCTAATATAGTTATTGTTAGAACTCAAGATAAATGTGCAACAAATAATATTAAAGAAGAGAGAATGAAAAGTTTCTTCACCTACGTAACCCACCTAATTGTAATAAATGAGAGAAGATAAAAAAGAGATAAGTTAGCATGCATTTGTGCCAAGCATTATCAATCACACGAAGCAAGAGAAAATTGAGGGAAATTGTCAAGAAAACTGAGAGAAAAGAGAAATGCAATTGCTGGCTATCTAAATGTGTCATAGCACCTTGTATATGCCCTTTTTTAATATACTGTAATGAAAGATTAGAGCAGTAAATACTGAAAAGTCTTTTATGAAGGAGTAGAGTAGTAATCATTAAGACATTTATTCCTATAATAATTCTGTTACAATAGGAATAGGGATGTGAGAAGTAATAATATAGACATTTATTCTTATAATAAAATAAAATAAACAGGAAGTAGGGGAAAAGCCAAAACAGTAAATTTAGAATATGGAGAAAATCGAAGCGTTTAAAATCTGAAAGGATATTACAGTTTGTCTTTCTTTCAATTAATTTTTTAATTATTTTTATTGGAATATGTATTTACATTTTTGTACAAAAATAATTTTTAAATAATGTTTAAGTAAAGGGCAAAATGGTCACTCAGTTTTTAATGAGTAAATTTGTAAATTAACTTTGACTTAAGGTTGGAATATGTATTTACATTTTTGTACAAAAATAATTTTTAAATAATATTTAAGTAAAGGGCAAAGTGGTCACTTAGTTTTTAATGGGTAAATCTGTAAATTAATTTTGACTTAAAATGTTAACATTTATAATATAGTATGATGATGATATCTTTAAAATCTTACACCGAGTCGTAACAGATGTAGAGTACAGCATTACCAAAACAACAAAAATAGGAGTACCAAAAAGGAAAATTCAATTTTTTTTTTAACATTTATATATTTGCAAATTAGCGGCGGTACATATTTCTCTCTTACTACATCACCATCTATTACGTTCCCTGAGGAAGCATTTCCGCTTTGTTACTCTCTCTATCAAATCTCTACAATTTCATAATTGGGAAGTTCTAGAATCTTCTATTTGTACAGCCATGGCTTCTGAGAATTTCAGCGACAAAAACGCTGTTTTTCGGAAGCTCAAATCCAAGCCTGATAACAAGGTTGTCTTTTTATTTTTTTAAAACCTTTTTTTATTTCATTTCTTAATTTAGATTCAAAACATTGAGATCTGATTTTAGATCTGTTAGAATATAATTCGAATTTTGATATTTTTTTTGTTAGATGTGTTTTGATTGCAATGCTAAGAATCCTACGTGGGCTTCGGTGACGTATGGGATCTTTTTGTGTATTGATTGTTCGGCAGTTCATCGCAGCCTCGGTGTTCACATCAGTTTTGTTAGGTAATCTTTTTCTTTTTAGAACCTGTTTATTTTGGCTTGGCGAGCTGATTTTCTGCTTGATTCTTGCTTAGCATGGCACCTTTACTTTTTAGGTTCGATGAAGTTGAAATTGTTCTTAATAACATGTTAAAAGTTGTGATTTTGGTGTAAGTTAGACGCCAGTGAAATGCATGAGTTGGTAAGTGCTATGGTAACATTCACTTATATTGTGATATTTGTGGTTTTTGTATGTGGCGAAATCAGAGGGCTTAATTTCTCGCTATCAAACCGCTTTGGAAAAGTATCTCGAGACCCCGAGGACGTGGAGTTGCGACCGAGTCCCCTCCCTCGGGGCTCGTTGAGGCCCGACTCAAAGAAGACGAAGATCGAGGCTGGAACAAAAAGGGGAATTCCCAAGGCTTGCGGCTAAGTCTGACAGAGCCGGCCTACCCAAAGCCTGTGTCGAGGCGTCACGTCTAGCCGTTCCATCTCCATGCTTTTATAATTAGTGTATATTGTACTATCAACGTTTCCTCCTCCTATATAAAGGGAACCCTCACCCCCTTGTAAGGGGTTGATGTTGCTCCAACTATTCTCCACAAGATCAATAATATCTCTCTCTTTCTTCTCTCTAACTTACTCGCTCTCACTCGCTCGAGGCTACTCTAAGCATTGATTGCTTTCATGCTTGTTCTTCATTTATTGCTTGATATTGGCCATAAAGAGCCTTCTTTAATTATATTCTAATTGTTATCTCTTTCCCGGTTGCCCCCGATAGCTCGAGCTCGAGCTGGATATCAACCCCGAGGCCGTTCATCGAATCAGTCCCAAGCTCGGGCAGAAAGCCCCTAGGTTTGATTACTACCCCGTTTTAGCTTGTATCTCATCGTTAAACTTCACATTCTTAGCATTAACTGCTCTAACAACTAGCATAAAAATAGATCACATATTTTTAGAATCCCATTTTATAAATTTAATTGTTGTTACCATTTTCACGATAAACAGTTTGGCGCCCACCTTGGGGCTAAAAATAATAGTGATTATTTTCTTGCTGGTTTCATTACACAAACGCAAGCTATCTTTCACACTTTTTCTTGTCTAAGATCTCTTGATTTCAGGTCGAAATGTCTGGCTCGGTAAACAGGGTTGAGAACGACTAGCTCGAAAATCGCGGCGAAAACGATGTGGCTGTTCCAGTTGTTGGCGCGCCACCGCAGAACCCCGATAACGCACTTGGACTGATTCCAGCGTACGTGGGTTCGCAAGACGCGCAGCAGGTTGACGAAACCTCACACACCGACGAAAGCATACAACATGACGACCAACAGGAAGCCCAAAAGACCCTAGCTCGGGAAGCACATGAATTTAGTCTTCACGATATTTTCGAAATATTGCAGACACAACAATTGACCATCGCTCAGTTACAAAGCTATCCAAAAACTCCCAGTATAGCTGCACCGGAAACAACTCCCCCAACCGAACAGGTGCCCGAGAGATCAAGCAGTAACGGATCGGTAGCCGGTCTCGCCATCGTGGAAATGCTGGAGGACCTCACCAAAAGGATTGAGTCAGGCAAGAAAATGATAGCAGCCTACGACAAGAAGGTCAAAACATACAACTTCAGAGTCAACCAAATCCCGGGCGCGCCCCGGGTCCTGAAGGGTGTAGATTCGTGGAAGTTCGTGCAACGGCCATTCCCTGATGAAGCGGCCCCGGAGCCCGATCCAGAGAAGTTCAGAACGCCGGAACTTCCTCAGTACAACGAGACCTCAGATCACAACGAGTGCATCGCTGCCTATACGCGCGCGGTAAAAGGTAATGACCCAAAAGACGATGAGACTGAGTCCGTCTTATTGAAGAGGTTCGGGGAAACAACATGTATTTACGCCAAGCAATTAAAGAATATCTTTCAATATCTCGTACTCCAAAAAAGAAAATTTCGGCATGCTCACGGCAAGGATTCCCTATACCAAATACGTCCCGAAATACTCGGAGACTTAGCGTCAACAATGTGGCACCCGCACGACCTCAGGGTCGGAACTCCGGCCTCATAAGACCCCAACGAGGCAATTCCGAGCTCACGAGTAACGACCTTCGAGCCTAAGCCAACTCGATGACTCGGAGACTGTCGCCAATCGCCATACGCGGGAAAACCCGAGGCCGTAAGACCCCGAGCGAGCAGACTCGGTCTAAGCCAGATCTATTTTACATAGCAACAAAAACTGTAAGACCTCAACAGGCATGACAAAACTGTAAGACCTCAACAGGCATGAAAATTTTGTAAGACTTTACTACAGACATAAAACTCAACCCCGAAGTTTAGGCTATATGTCGCATTTGTAAGACTCCCGAAAGGGCATACCCTCGATGTAGACGCCTAAACTATTACTCGGGATCAAAAATGGCTCTGGCCAAACACATATGACTACGGTCAGAACGGCTGCACCAGCCAAATTAACGCGACTCGGGGACGCCCGACTGTCGCTAACAAAATCGCAGGCCATTACTTCGAATCTACTTCGAAAAGAACCGGTTAAAACAGGCTACTCTCAACAGGCAAACGAGCTTCGACCATGTCAGCTCCAAATCACAAGGCTTTGATCTACTCAGCCTACGAGCTAAACCTTCCGAGGTGCTCGAACATCGCCGCTAACGACTTGAAATCGAGGTTCTTCCCGCATAGGTAAACCTTCAGGGTTTATAATGTGGTAAGGGAAAAGGTTGTTGGAGATGAGGAATTACTATTTAGATGAGGATGTGTGGAAGAAACGGAATCAGGGGTCGGAAAAAGAAAACGTTTGACAAAATACTCTATGTTTTAAGGAGGAATTTGCAGGATATGCCATGGATAGCTATACGGGTTATTGAGAGTCTAACAGAAGGCAGGGTTTATAATGTGGTAAGGGAAAAGGTTGTTGGAGATGAGGAATTACCATTTAGATGAGGATGTGTGGAAGAAAGGGAATCAGGGATTGGAAAAAGAAAACGTTTGACAAATTACTCTATGTTTTAGTGCAATGTAAATCAGAGAATAAAATTCAACACCCAAAACTTCTCAATATGTACAATTAAGAAAGAAAGATGACAGACTGTGACTAATAAGGCAGTGTCTCTCAGAGAATACATATGAATAGTTAGGGAAACTTGGAAGGTTTCGATATAGTCTTGCTCGTTTTTGCATTCATCCATAAATAACTCCACTATTTTGGCACCACTTCTTATTTTCCACAAAATTCCAGAAACCACCCCTTTCACATGTGAACTTCTGTTGTGGCAACTCTGCCTATCCAGATTATGGGGGGCATGGACGGTGTGCTATTGAGTATCTTTGCTGCCTTTTGTTGGGATTGCTTCAAAGCAAAGAGAGAGTGATGTGGAAGGAGATGTCAGTTCATGTCTTTGGTCACTGTTGTTAAAAGGGAGGAGAGAGTAGACTAGCTGTTAATATTTTGGTTTTGCTGGTTAAGATGTTGGTGGCAGGCCGACAGGCTTATTATTATTATTATATTATTTTTTTTTATAACTATAATGGGGCTGGGGGACAAGGGCTGATGTGGTCAAACAAGAGTGAGAATAAATCTTCTGCCGTTGCTTTATCATATTATTATTTATAATTTCTATTTTCTGAGCCCTCAAGGTATTCGTACACACTACCCTCCCCAAACTCCACTTGTGAGATTATAGTTGGTTTGTTGTTGTCGTAGTTGTCATTGTAATTTCCATTTACTGAGAAGCTGAGTCTTGCAGATCAACAAATTTAGATTCGTGGACTCCAGAGCAGTTAAAAATGATGTACTTTGGTGGAAATAACCGTGCTCAAGTTTTTTTCAAGCAGCATGGATGGAGCGATGGAGGCAAGACTGATGCCAAATATACCTCAAGGGCTGCTGACTTGTATAGGCAGTTACTCTTAAAAGAGGTTGCTAAAAGTACTGCGGAGGATGCAGGTTTGCCAGCATCACCTGTTGCTTCTCAGGCTGCACAGGCTACTAATGGATTTCCAGATATTAAGACCAGTGAACCAACAAAACAAACGTCTTCATTGAAGGACGAAAAAACCGAGGTTTCTGCTTCACCCAAAGCCTCTCAAGTTATTACCACCTCTTTTAAGAAACCTATAGTTGCAAAGAAAGCAGGGAAGTCAGGTAGACTTGGAGCTCGCAAACTTACTAAAAAGGTACTTATTAGACATACAGCCAAGAACTTGGGCATAGACGTAAGTTGGATGCTTTGAAATGAAGTGATATCCTGCATTATGCTTATTTGACCCCCAAAAAAAGAAGTAATAACCCCGCTTTTATGGTGGTTAACAAATTTGTCGTAGTAATTTTAGGTTTCTAGTCAATTGACTATTTGCCGATGTACAGCCAAGTGAAAGTCTCTATGACCAGAAGCCTGAAGAACCGCCCATTCAAATTTCCTCCTCCAGCACTGCAAGTAATGCAACAACTGTTGGTTCATCGTTCACATCTCGTTTTGAGTACACAGACAATGTCCAACCTGCTGAGACGAGTTTTGGAGGCCCTCGTGTTCTTAACCATGTAGCCCCTCCGAAGTCCTCCAACTTTTTTGCAGATTATGAAACGGATAATGGTTTCACAAAGAAGACAAGTTCCAATTCTTCAAAAATTCAAGTGAGTTCTTATTCTAGCTTTTATTTTCCATGATCATCCAGGATTTCGTTAAAGCTGGTTCAATGAAATATCAAGAATCAGCTCAGTATTTTTTGCATAGAAGCTTAGTGGCGTAAAACTAGGTTCAAAGAGAAAAGGGATAATCTTTATCATGTATGTTTATAAGTAAAGTTTAACGGAAGGAGAAAGGTGGATATTATTGTGGTGTGGCTTTTGTCTTTGTTTTTCTATTCTATTGAGCCCCAAAAATATTGATATCTTGGTCTGATGTTCCCCTGTTACAGATCTCACTGTACCAATTTTTCTTTTGGTCTTTCTGAAACTGACTCAATATCATTCATCCTCCAACCCCCCC